TTTGAATTTTTTTATTTCATTTATTGTGTCTAAATTAATTATTATAGAATTAATTTTTAATAAATATATATATATATATCCTTTTTAATTATTAAATAAAGTGAGTTGAGTTAGATGGAATGGGACTAGGCAAGACACAAGACAATTTTCATTCTAACTTCCAATAACTTTTTATTAATTCATAAGAAATATTTAAAATATTATTTATAAATATAATAATTTTTTACAATATAGTTGTAAAATAATTAAATACATTTACTATTTCATATTTTAAAATTACAAACATTAATTAATTAAATGGAGATAAATAAAATTAATTAAGGAAAAATAGTTTAAATTATTAAAAATTTGAATACTCTTAACTAAGTTAACTAATTTTTAAGGAGTGTAATTTAGTTGGAAGGATCTTATAATTAAAGACAAGAGTAATATACATAAAATTATATTCAACTTGAATACTTCTATTTTTTTTATATATTTTTGCAAAAACTCAAATAATTATGTTAGATTAATATAAAAATAATGATTTTATAAACAAATATATTTTTAACATAAGTAAAAAATGAAACTTGTTTTTGATCCGTTAATTTAAAATTGTTGTTTTTAGTCTCTATAATTTCAAAAAAAAATATCTTATTTTAATCATTATATTTAAATTTTGTTAAAAAATTTATCAAATATTATTATATAAAATCTACCTATTGATATCCCCGTTAGTGAAACATCACATTATATCCAATTGATATTGCATAATTATCTTAATCTGTCACTTTTAAATATGTGATATTGGTGATCTGAGGGACTAAAATAATATTTTTGAAAATTACAGAGACTGAAAACAATAATTTTAAATTTGAAGTGTCAAAAGTAAATTATCTTAAATTTAAGAGACTAAAAACATATTTAAACATAAAATTTTATTATTAAATGTTTTTAGTTAAAATATTTAAAAAAAAAATCTAATTTACTTGATTAAAATTTAGGAAATTAAAATATATTAAAAAGTAAATTTTATTGGTAAATAAAATATAGGCAATTATTATTTTGATCTAAGAATACAAGTTGGGTGTTCTGTGGGGCATTGTAAATTGGTTTGGTTGTCGTCCCGAATAGTTTTGATCTTGAATCCATTTCACACTTTGTTTGTTTTGACAAAATCCATTGCACTAGCAGGGGAAGGTACCTGTAAATTGGTATTTTGATTTCCTAGTGAAGCCATTGGGCAATCATAAAAATAATGCTCCCTTCTTTCTTTCTCCTCAGGATCCTCTTCACAAAACCACCTTTACAACTCTCACCCTTGCAAGGGTCATAGTCAAAGTCAAACTTCACAGGTCCTCCCACTCTTTTGTCACTCTCCCAAACCCCCCCTTACAAAACCCAACCCCAACCCCCATTGAAACAAAACATTTAAAAACAAAAGAAAACCTTAAAAAAAAATAAAAAACCAAGTACCAAGAAGTAAATCAAATGTTCTCCCTCTCTTGCTTCCTCCCCTCCCCCGACCCTCACCCCAACCTCACCACCTACACCTACCACACCGAAAACGGCACCGTTTCGCTCACATGGTCACGCTCCATGCTCGGTCGCTCCCTCGACGTCCACCTCCACAACCACTCCTCTTTCCACATCCGCATCAAGCCCTGGAGAAAACACGGCTCCAAAAAACTCTCCCACAACACCCTCTTCCTCTGGAACCTCTCCCACGCCAGGTTCGGGCCCGGCCCCGAACCCCGCTCCAGATTCTACCTCGCCCTCCTCGTCGACCACTCCCTCTCCCTCCTCGTCGGCGACCAGGCCCCCAAGCCCAAGCCCAACCCCAACAACACGCCAACTCACCAACGCCTCCTCCTCAAGCGCGACCACGTCCACGTGGCGCCGCAGTGCACCAGAGTGTACCAAACGAGAACGCGCCTCGGAGGTAAGACTAGAGAGTTCCGAATAGACTGCGAGGGTTACGAGAACGAGAACGAGAACGAGAACGAGAGTTTGAGGCTCTTGTTCTGCGTGGACGAGGAGAAGGTTCTGGAAGTGAGGCGTCTCAAGTGGAAGTTCAGAGGGAGCGAGAGGGTGGAGATCCACGGGGCGCACGTGCAGATCTCGTGGGACGTGCACGACTGGCTTTTCGACAAGGACAAGGATCACCACGGCAACGAGGGGCACGCGGTTTTCGTCTTTAAGTTCGAGGAGGACGAGGTTGTGGGAGGTAGTAATAAGGAGAAGGAGGAGAGTGTGTGGGCGAGTCAGCAGCAACAGTGGAGTTTGGGGAGTAACAATGGCAAGAGTTGGTCTTCTTCCTCCTTGTCCGTTTCCTCTTCCGCTGGCTCCTTTGCCGGAACCTCCTCTGTCATGGAGTGGTCCAGTGTCGAGGAGAATGACTTGGTCGTTCCCCTTGGCTTTTCCTTGCTTGTTCATGCTTGGAGAAGCTGAACTCAACCCTAATTTCTTCATGCTTCTAAATTGCGGTTGGTTGCAGAGTATTTTCTATGTCACCATAAATAAAAAATGTAGTTGATGTGATCACAATTATGATCGCTGAATTGAAATTTTTTAAGTTGCAGATCGCAATTTAAGATCATGTGAGAAATATACCAGTTTAGGAGTGAAAAAATAATGAAATTAGATGTCATTAATGTATATGAAAAAATATTTGTTCTTTAAATGAATTTTGAGGGATTATTTATTGACTCACTCAAAATATACCAATGATTATGATTAATTGATCAAGTTATTGGGATGATGTTTGTGTATGTAGAGGTAGATTTATATGGAATTTGTGTCTTGAGAAATTTGTTTAGAGAGGTCGATTGATTCGTAGCTCGATATATTATTATTAGTCTCTGACTTTGGACCAGAAGATTTGTGGTACTAGAAGGGGAAGCAATCTTTATTGGTATTTGTTGCAGTCATTACTTTTACTCATTTATACATTCAGTGACTATGGGTGCTTTGGAATGAAGATTAGGATCGTTGGAAGAAGATTTGACAGTGCAAATTTCAAATGGGTGTTTTTGTTTGAGTACTAATGGATGAAAAACTAGTTAGAAGTTATGGTAGCACATTTGTTTGGTGAAAATATAGAAAGGGGGTGGGAATATGTTGGTGGGTTTGTACACTTGATATAGGTGTACCGGATTTGTGAGAGACTTAGAGGGACTTGGTGCATTTGCAGTGTAAGTGTTTGTTTTGTAATAATGTTGAGTTAGTTGTTGATGAAATTGGGGAAGGGAAAAGGAAACAATGTTGTGAGCGTGTGTGATTGGAACTTTACTCGTGATGTGCACGGCAAATGTTCGACCAAATGACGGCAAATTGAGTTGGGACACCTGGTTTTCTTTGGTGGATTTGCATTTGGCAGTTCAGCAGCTTGTTGCCTAAGGTGACCGGTACTAACCGTCAATTTGGTTGACCCGTTCCAACCAAGAATCAACTGTATTCAATTCAATCAGATGGAATGGTTAATATTTGGTTGACGGCACAGAAAGATGGTGCTCTTCTTTTATGAGTTAATAAAAAATTGTCTTTAAAAGTGATTTTTAATGTTTTATATTGTTTTAGTCTTTAAAATGTTTGCGATTATTTAAATTGTTTTTTTAAATAACTTTATTTGTAAGTTTTGACTTTTGACAACTAAGTAGAATAAATTTACGGTAAAATTAGTAGTTTTTTTTTTTTTTTTAATTTTAGTTTTCTTTATTCTATATGGCTATTAAATAAAATTTTGATCTAAATTAAAACAGATCTGATAAAAATATCAAAATGAAAATAGAAGATTATATTAAAAATAAAAAAGTTAAAATATCATAATAGGAATTCTGAAATTGTTTTTTTTTAAACAATGTTTTTTTTTTAAAAAGTTATTTTTTTTATAAGAAGTGTATATAATTTGCTTCTTAAAAAAAAAAGAAAAATGTTTATTTTTAAAATAAACAGTTTAGATAAACACATCAAACAATTTTTTTTTAAAAAGAAATTGTTTATTTCATTAAAAACCATTTTTATATATATAAAAAAAAGATTAAACAAATAGATCCTGTACTATCCGTACCGCGTAACCGAGCTCCGAGCTCGGCACCACAACGCAAGCCGACCTCGGACGCGCACCGCATGATATCAGCTCGGCATTTAAGTGAATCATAACTGATTCCCGAGGATCTCGCCTCAAACGAGGTCTATTATCTAATCATATTGCATCTTATCTCAGGCCCAAGGCCCAAAGCAACCCTAATTCACACTAAGGTACGTGCATTACTTATACGAGATTCATACTCCCACAAACACTAACTTTAGCATCGGAGTCTCTTTTGCAGGTACCACCCCCATCTTGGAGCACCAGCGTACCCGCGAAGGAGGCTCACCGATCTTACTTGACGGATCAGCTCTACAACAGATTTCCGGTAAGAACATTTGGCGCCCACCGTGGGGCCGATCAAGACAGCTCTTATCGGCCACGCTTATGGTTCTCACCAGAAGCCATAGTAGACGCACAATAGACGACATATTTACAAGGTGTGGTGCCTAGGGTATTTATAGGAGTGGGAGGCATCTAGGGTTGCATTTAGGGTGCCAAATGCACACCAAATGAAACCCAAATTAACCCTAGATGCAACTTGGTGGCCAAGGATGGAATCTTTGGGTTTAGTTAGGCTACATCTAGGTGCATGATAAGACCATGCAACCTTTGCCCTCCACTTGGGCCTAAGCCTTTCTAACACCAAAAATAGGTCCAATAGCCACAAAAATATGTCTAGGTTTTTGTTCCCACCCTAATCAAATACCTTAGCCCAAAAATAAAATCCTATGATCTAAAACACTCCATAATACAAGGGTAAAATGGGAAATACAAAAAAAAATAAATCCTATGACTAAGATACCCCAAAATACAAGGGTAAAATTAGAAATACAAGTAAAATAAATTCTAAGACTAAAATACCCCAAAATACAAGGGTAAAATAGGAAATCAAATACAAGGACAAAATAGGAATAAATGCTATGCTAAGAAAATCTTAGGAGCTAAGGCCCAAAAGTGGGCTCACTCCTCATATGGTTTTTTTTTTAAACACTAACCCATTCATTTTTCCTCCTTCAATACATCACCTCTTGGACTTCTTGGCCTTAGTGTTATTCCATCATTCCTCTAAGTCCTATTAGCTTTCAAAACCAAACACACATAGCATATTACATAATTACATACAAACTTTTCCATAACCATGCCAACTTAACTAAATCACTCCTTGTGAAATGGCAACCTTCACATAAAACGGCATATCAAGAGTTATACTACTCCTATCATGCTCATACTTATCTCATATGAAAGATAAGAAGATTTCCTACAACTCTTATGTAGACATCAAGTCCTAATTCCATCATCTACTTTGTTAAAAATTCTAAAAACCGCAACAACTATAACCAATGCTGGCAGCTTGACCCATGTTCACTAAAACAGTCATATCTGGAGTTCTAGATCTCCTTTTTGGGTGATTCCAATGCCATTGGAAAGCTAACATCCAAGGCTACAACTTTTATGAAGACTTAAAGACTAACATACTCACGCCCGACGAACTAATATCCCACTCGACGAAAAACTCAAACAAAGACCTACAGAGGTCTCAGCGCCCGATGCAATTATCCTACGCCTGGCGCAATTCTAGACAGAGACTCCCAATGAGTCTCCACGCCCGGTGTGCTCAGATCACGCTCGGCGCAATATCAGTAAACAAAACACAAGCACCACGTCTGATAGTGCGCCCGACATGGTTCTCCCCACGCCCGACGTGATTCACCCATGGATTCCCATTTCAAATTGCGCCCGGTGCAACTAGCCTTGCGCCCGGCGTGATTTGGCAATGATGGTCCCTAATGAATTCACGCCCAATGCCAAGAATTGTGCCCGACGCATTTACTAACAGAAACCCTTGAAAAACTCAAAAATTTCTTTCCAACATGAATCCAATTCAAATTAAATGAGTTCAAATCATTAGAAAGCATAAATATTATCCAAAAACAACATATTAAGCAATGAAATCAAGTCTTAACCACTAATTCATGGAAATCATGAAGAAACCCCAACCAAAACCCTTTCCCCTCAATCCATCCTTAATCATGCATATATCATGGAATCAATGTGATATTAGGTCGAGTACGAACCTCAACAAAATTCGTTTTACTCCAAAACGGGTCGAGTACGAACCTCGGAAACATTCGTTTTACCCCAAAACGAGGTCAAGTACGAACCTCGGAAAAACTCGTTTTACTCCAAAACAAGGTCGAGTACGAACCTCGGCAAAATTCATTTTACGCCAAAACGAGGTCGAGTACGAACCTCGGAAAAATTCGTTTTACTCCAAAACGAGGTCGAGTACGAACCTCGGAAAAATTCGTTTTACTCCAAAACGAGGTCGAGTACGAACCTCGGCAAAATTCATTTTACACCAAAATGAGGTCGAGTACGAACCTTAACACTCTTAACCGAGGTCGAGTACGAACCTCGAAAAAATTCGTTTTACTCCAAAACGAGGTCGAGTACGAACCTCGGAAAAATTCATTTTACTCCAAAACGAGGTCGAGTACGAACCTCGACAAAATTCGTTTTACTCCAAAACGAGGTCGACTACGAACCTCGGAAACATTCGTTTTACTCCAAAACGAGGTTGAGTACGAACCTCGGAAAAATTCGTTTTACTCCAAAACGAGGTCGAGTACGAACCTCGGCAAAATTCATTTTACACCAAAATGAGGTCGAGTACGAACCTTAACACTCTTAACCGAGGTCGAGTACGAACCTCGAAAAAATTCGTTTTACTCCAAAACGAGGTCGAGTACGAACCTCGGCAAAATTCATTTTACGCCAAAACGAGGTCGAGTACGAACCTCGGAAAAATTCGTTTTACTCCAAAACGAGGTCGAGTACGAACCTCGGAAAAATTCGTTTTACTCCAAAATGAGGTCGAGTACGAACCTCGACAAAATTCATTTTACTCCAAAACGAGGTCGAGTATGAACCTCGGAAACATTCGTTTTACTCCAAAACGAGATCGAGTACGAACCTCGAAAAAACTCATTTTACTCCAAAACGAGGTCGAGTACGAACCTCGGCAAAATTCATTTTACGCCAAAACGAGGTCAAGTACGAACCTTAACACTCTTAACCGAGGTCGAGTACGAACCTCGACAAAATTCGTTTTACTCCAAAACGAGGTCGAGTACGAACCTCGGCAAAATTCGTCTTACCCCAAAACGAGGTCGAGTACGAACCTCGACAAAATTCGTTTAACTCCAAAACGAGGTCGAGTACGAACCTTGGAAAAATTCGTTTTACTCCAAAACGAGGTTGAGTACGAACCTCGGCAAAATCCATTCTACTCCAAAAACGAGGTCGAATACGAACCCTGACGCACTCATTCGAAGTCGAACCCGAACCTCGATGAAACTCATTCTTACACAAAAACTGAGGCCGAGTACGAACCCCAAGACAATTCATTCTACGCAAACCCGAGGCCAAGTCCGAACCTTAGGACCACCATTTGAGGTCAAACTCGAACCCTTAATACAGTCTACCCTACTCTAAAAACAAGATTAAGCTCGAGAAGGCAGAAAAACAATCAAATCTCAACGAGCAATATATATACAAAGCCCACTCTGAAGCCGGATTACCAAAACCACATCCAAAAATACAAAAAATGGCAGTAGCTTGGCAACGCACACCGACAACCGCCCGAGTCTCTCCACCACATGATGCCGGTGTGGCCTTTCTCCCAATAAGGAATGGATACCCTCGGACCATTCCCCCCCTGCGAAAGACCAACTAAAGTTCCTCCTGGTAGCAATCGACTACCTCACCAAGTGGATCGAAGCATGTCCACTCGCCAAAATCACCACTGCAAACATGCAGAAGTTCACCTGGAAGAATATCATCTGCAGGTTCGGAATCCCTCACGCCCTCGTTACCGACAACGGTCGACAGTTCATCGCACAGGAACTCGAGGACTTCCTCCGCGATCTCGGAATTAAGCACCTTTCGACCTCGATGGAACACCCCCAGACCAATGACCAGGCCGAAGTCGCCAACGAGACCATCCTCCGAGAACTCAACAAGTGATAAGAAACGCCAAAGGGCAGTGGCCCGATGAGCTCCCCAGCATCCTCTGAGTGCACCATTGCACCCCCTGGTCAAGCACACAAGGGACGACTTACAGGCTGACCTACGGAGCTAACGTGATGATCCCAGTAGAAGTAGGCAAAAAATCCCACAGACGCCAAGTCTTCAATGCCCAAGAACTGGCGGCTGACCTCAACCCAGTGGACGAGCTTAGAAACGAAGCCCAAATCCACGAAGAAGCCTGCAAGCTCCGAGCTTCCAGAAGATACAAACACCCGAGTAAAACCTCGCTCATTCCGAGCCAGTGACTTGGCATCATTCCAGAAGACATGGGTTTTGACTGAGAGGGTTTTTAATGAAGCACACTTACATAATCAACAAAATGACCCATTCCACTCAACTTACATCTTTTTCGCATCATTTTACGTCTAACCTCA